AAAAAAAAAAAAAAAAAAAGAATAAAGATCTCAGTGCTGAAACATAGAATCCTGATTGTATACCAAGATGACATTCAGCCAGCCTAAAGAAAACCATTGTACATGTATGTACTCCAACATTCCTCTCAAATTTTTGATTTAAAAATTACTTTTAAAAGTTTGTCATTTTTAGATAGCTCAGCAGACTAAAGCGCCTGGTTAGGCAGAGCATAGCAGCTGGGGTTCAAACCCCAGTGTGCCATGCTGGCCCCATCCCCAGAGCAAGCTAAGACAATGATTGAGATTGGGGATGGTAGCACTGTAATCCCAGCACTTGGGAGGCTGAAAACTGGAGGATTACTATGAGTCGGATCTCCATAGTGAGACCCTGTAGGCCCTGTAGAGCCTGTACTAAAATACATTTAAAAAGAAAAATTTGTCACTCTTATATATAGGATGGTGGGTCACTATGACAGATTTGAAAAACATTAAGTGACAAATATTTGATGATAATATTTTGAACTTGCACTTTAAAAAAATTTATTTATTTGATACAGGATCTCGCTATACAGTTCATACTTGTAGTGATCCTCCTGTCTCAGTCTCCACATTGCTGGGATTACAGGTGTGTGTCATCACACCCGGTTTCAGTGGCCAGCACAGCATGTCCAGGGTTCAGGGTCTGGCACTGCATCAAGTATAGGGGATCAAAATCAGGTCCTTGCACTTGCCAGGCAGGAACTTATGCCACCAAGCTATCTCCCCAGTCCTGAAGGTACACTTTTATTTGAAAATTTTATTTAGTTTAATAATTTACTGCTGTGATAACAACTTTAATGACAGATGTAGAGGAAGCGGGAGGGGGGAGCTGGAACTTCAACACTAATTAAATACATTAAAAGTACAAGACCTATTCCAAATAGCATCCTTCCATAATATTAATTCCAAATGATTGTCACATTACTAGTCTTGATTACCATATTTAATCATGATCTCAGAGACATGTCGAAACATCAAAGAGATAACATTGCAAATAATAAGCTGAGAGAAAAGAACCCATGCCAAAAGTTTAAAGACCTAATTTGTATGGTGTTCTATCTAGTCACTATCTTTGAAAGTAATATAACTTTGGCTTTATGCATCTAATTTGGAACCCAAATATTCCCAGGCAAGGGCAATAGCAGATTCTAAAGAAATGTATTTATATACTAGCTCGAAGGAGGTTTTGAGTTCCCCCCCGCCAAAACAAAAAAGAGCACAGACTGGTCACCAGATGTGGAACCCATGTGACAATGAACACAAGAGCTCAGGGACACAGAATGGAGAGAACAAGCTTAACAGGCAGGGAAGTCACTCAAACCTGATGGACAAATGTTTGGTTCAGCTGACTTTCTGCAAGAAAATATAAATCATTTTATTTTTAAACCCAGAAATATGCCTTGGCTAGTCATGTTCTCTAGTTTGTTCTTTTTCTTTCTTTTTCTTTTTTTTTCTTTCTTCCTGTTTGAAAAGATACTTATCCATACGCAGTTTATTACTTGGCCTGAATTCTGTACTTTTCACACAAAAATTCATTTTAAAGTTAAAGAAAAGTGAATCAGAAAGTTAATAAGAGTTTTTTTTTTTAAAGCTGGCAAAGAGTTACATTTTGTTTACTTTAAATTCAAGAATCTGTCACAGCAAATCAATCATAAGGCCCTTATATTCTGCTTCTGGATCATCTCTTGAAGTTGAAATCTTCCACTACAAGTGTCAGTCCTTGCTCCATGAATGTGTATCTTACATTCATCCTCTGTCATACTAGAACATCCTGCAATGTGCCATGTACTATTAGAACCGTGCCCTTTGCACATGCAGCTGCCACCTTGCATGTCTTTCCTATACTTCCTGAAATGGCAAATTTCCTTCCTTCAAAACACAGTTTAAGTGCCAACTGCTCATGCAACACCTATTTGGTTTGCCTTGGCAAAATTGTATCTTTTTAATGGATTTAAAAAGAGCAACTGCAAAAAGTCCATCAATTTATTGCTATTTTAGTGCATACGAAATAAATACTGATGGTAGCTGACATTATAGAGGGCCCTATGCCAGAACTCAGCTGAACTCTTCTAAGAAAATCTCATTCAAGGTTATATGCCTTTAAAATATATAAAAATTAAAACATTTATGTTATAGGTACCACAAAAACACAAAGAAAAATTTTAAAACCATTCATTTCAGCTAAGGTGGAATAAAGACTGTTATAAATTCTTTGCTTTTCCTCTTCTTGGGAGGTAGAATGTAATTCTTTATCATTTGGCTTTGGACTGGTCAACAGAAGTTCTGGGACTTCCAAGGCTAGGATATTCGAGGTATTTCAGCTTACCAGTTCCCCCAAAACAACCTCTCTGAGAAACCTGACCTCCACCTGAGAAGTGCAATTACTCTTAAGACTGCCGTGCTGGTGAGGCTCAGAGTAGGTGCAATCGTTCAGCTGATCCTGTTCCTTACAAAGCCCATAGTAACAGGTGAATACAACTAAATAACATCAATTAACATCATATGTAGCCAAAGACTCATTCAGCTGAGCTCTACCTGAATAGTTGCCACACAACATCGTGAACTATAAAAACATACTGGCTTTAAGCCACTAAATTTTGAGGTAATTAGCAAGTGATAACTGAAAAATCTAGTACTCATGAAAAGCTACAATAATCTTGACATATTTTCCATTATATCTTCTCTTTGTTTCTAAGCATCTAATTTCTTCTACTGTTTCCATCCTTTATTATTTAATGGAATTAGGTTCAGAATAGTTTTGTTTTTCATATACACATAAACTCTTTTCATATTAACACAATATGATTAACATTTCCCCCACATCATTAAAAATATTCTACAGATTCTTTTGTGGTCAATAAATCTGATGACTGAGTTTCCACACCATTATGTATGGCTCTCTCTAACCTTGTTATGATGTCAAAAAATTACCTGTCTGACATGAAAAAATTAAAGGACAATGAAGGGCTGACCAAATAGCTCAGCAGATTAAAGCACCTGCTTAAGCAGATGCAGCAGCCAGGGTTCAATCCCCAGCCAACCATGCTCACCCTGCCCCCAGGGAATGCTGAGACAGTGATTGAGACTGGGCGTGGCGGCACACACCTCTAATCCCAGCTCTAGGGAAGCTGAATACAGGAGAATCATGAGTCTAATTTACCTAATGAGACCCTGTACACCCTGTAGACCCTTACTAAAATACAAAATAAATAAATAAGGAGGAAATAAAAGATAGATAATAGGAAATAGGGAGATAGATATTCTACAAACAGGTAGGGGATCAAGGGAGGGAAGGAGAGAGGGTCAAGAGAGGGAGAAGAAGGGGATGCAAAAAGAATTAAGATGTGTGATATACATGTACAATTACCCATAATGAATATAATCACTATGTACTATAAACAGGTACTCATACAAATAAAAACTGAAAAATATAAAGTATAAAATTATTCTTCAGTAACTTGTTTGTTAATGACTATATAACGCATTCTATCAATGTCCTACTGTAGAACATTTAGCTTATTCCCAATTCTTTTTATAAAGAATGAACATCTTTATTTATAATGAACATCTCTCAACATCAGTCACATGAGCATCTTTGATTATGTCATTAACATGATCGGAAGTGAAATCACTAAAGGTTCTTAAGATACATTGCCAAATGCTTTGACAAAATTTACTCTTTGAATAGTAATGTTAATGCATGATCACGCTATTAAGCTCTAGCCAGCATAAAATGTCATGTATAGCAATCTTTGTCTTTTTGGCAAATGCTTTTTCTATTTTGTTTGACTATTATTTTCACACTATACAAAACAACTCACTAAAAACAAAACAAAGACTATGTAATTCCTATGCAGACTAACTAGTGAAAGAAATATCTTATAGTCTTCTTTAAAATCTTTCAAAAAAGATTTTTTAAAAATCACAAAAGTAGATAATAGGAGAAATAGATCCATGTGTCAGAATCTGTCAATGCTTGAAATGTTTTCCCCTGGAATAATCTTTTTGGCCAATTAATCTTTTATTCATTTGCTACATTTGGGGGGGGGTGCGAGTACCAGGAATCAAACCCAGGACCTTACATTTGTCAGGCAGGCACTGTGCCAATGAGCCGTATCTCTGGCCCTTATTGACTGCTTTTTAGAGAATTTAAAATCAGGAGATTTTAAAAAATATGTTCCTACATATATGTCAGAGAAGATCGCTGTTAGAATACATTGTATGAACCATATGTAATTGGTTAGCTGTAGACTTTTCTGCACGGATGCAAAATAACATAAGTTTCTCTAGAATATTTCTATAAAATGCCACCAGATCACTAGAGCAAAAGGGAGGGGTAGCATCTGCTGCCGCTAGCTTTTCTCTCTTTCCGTTTGTATGCAGATTATCTGCTCCAAAGTGTAGCACTCACACCTATAATCCCAGTATTAGATTAAGAGTTAATCACATTTTCTTATTAAAATGAATAAAAGAAAAGAGTTAATCACAAACTCTAGAAGCTGCCCCATAACTGCATGAGACTTTGGGGGGACAACTGGGCACAAACCATGACAGTGCCTTGATGCTGGAACATAGCAATGTGAGGAAGAGGAGGAGGAGGTACCCAGGAAGGCTCTTAAGTAAGAACTGAAACCCATGGAGAGAGTGAAGAGAGAGACTTCAAAGAAAGAGGTAGCAGGTGGCAATTTTCCTGGAGCTTGGATTCACTGCAAGGAAGGAGGGCCTCAAACCTGCAGACAAGATGACTACTAAACACGCTAGAGGACGCTATAGTGAAACTGCAGTGGAACGGAGGAGAAGACACAGCAGACTACAGTGACTGCTCAGCTAGCTGTTCAGGTTCAGACTTGCCCCAGGTTAAGCAAATGTCTGGTAGCCATCTTGGAGAGGGGCCAGTTGAGCTCAGAACTCAGAAGAGCTGCAGGCCAGCTCCACCTAGCAGCCCAGTGTCAGAATGAGGCTACAAAGTTCAAGTTGAGAGAAGGTCTAGAAGCCTACTTCAAGCCAGCAGAGAACTGAGTTCAAGACAGCAAAAGGCACATGGAGAGTTACAGGGTGGTCAAATTGGATTCCAGCTCACAGCCAGAAACCAGCCTGAACTGCAGTGGAGCACAAAGAACAGGCTTGCTAAGATTATTCACTGCTCCACCATAAAGCTATGGCTGACTTGCTGGGATTAATCAACTCAGATCTGGACTCTCTGCTCACATTATCTACCAGTGACAGCACAGCCTTGAAGTGAACATATTTTTTCTTATTTTCTTTCTTTCTTTTCCCATTTTTGTTTTTCTTGATTGTGCTTGTTTTTTATACAAGTGTGAACAAGGTTTCCAGTTTTCTGTTGCTGTTCTGTTTTTTCTTTCTTCTTTGTCTCATTCTTTTATGTATTCTTCACCAGAAATTTTATGTCTCAAAGTTCACATAATCTTCCTTTATCCTCCAGCCTTGCTTTTAATCTCTTCCTCTTCTTTTATTTTTCTATTTTTAACCCAAAACTCCATCAAAAAGTTCTCCAATGAGGGTAAAAGAGCCACCTTGAGAAATTATTTGCAGTATACAATTTTCTGGCTTGTTTTAGATTTGCATATATAACCAAAATCTAGTTCCTATGGCTAAAGGTAACAAATTAATAATACCAGACTCTTGCCATTTTGAAGCTGGGTTAAATGCTACTGTTATTACTGATTGTACTACTTCAGCCAAAGTGGCATAATTATACTAATCAGTTGTTCTTCCCATTATAAGACTGAGATTACCTAAGGTTCATAAATAATACATAGGCCAATGCTAAAGAACCAGGGACTAAGTCAACTAGGCAATAACTTTTCATATCTGTTAATATTTATTTTATAGTTTGGGTAACTGATATTTGCGATATATTTTTCTCTCTTCCTCTTGGATTTTTCCCTTTACAAGGTTGTAGTGATCTCCTTTATATCTTCTGAGCAGTCTTGGTTTGAAAATCCTCTTTGTCTACAAGTACAATAGCTACTACTCCTGCATTTTTTCTGTGTCCTTAATGCATGAAATATTGTTTTTCCATGTAGTACTCCCAAATTCAATCCAGGAAGCAAACATTTGCACTATTACCAAAACCAAAAAAGAATCTAAGCAAAAAAGACTACAGGCCCATCTCCCTAGTGAAAATACATATGAAAATCCTCAATAAGATACTAGCAAACATTATGTAGCAAATCATCAAGGTTATACCCCATAACCAAGTAGAATGCCAGGTATGTAAGGATGGCTCAACATACATAAATCAGTAAATGTAATATACCATATCAACACAGACAAGGGCCAAAATCACATGATCATCACGACAGATGCAGAAGAAAGCATTTCACAAAGTCCAACACACATTCATGATAAAAAGAAAACTGGGACAGATGGTGTTTATCCTAATCTGATAAAAGCTATTTATGGCAAACCAATAGCCAACATCATATTAAATGGAGAAAATCTGAAAATTTTCACTCTAAAATCAGGAACAAGACAAGGATGCCCACTGTCACCACTCTTTTTCAATACAGTTCTGGAAGCATTTGCCAGAGAAATTAGGTAAGAAAAAGAAAAGGAAAAAGTTAATTATCATTATTGTGGATAACATGATACCTATAATTCCCCAAAAAGTCTAACAAAGACTCCTAGATTTAATAATCAAATTCAGAGTAAGGCAGCTGGAATCAAAATCAATGCTCAAAAATCAATACCATGAGACAGGCATGGTGGTGCATGTCTGTAATCCCAGGACTCAGGAGGCTAAGACAGAATGATCACTTTGAGATCATGGAGGGCCTGGACACACTGAGACCCTGTCTTTACAGCATAAAAGGAACAAACTCACTGATTGAGAAATTAGGAAAACAATACCTTTCACTGTAGCATCCAAAATCCTGAAATATCTAGGAATTAATCTAATGAAGGAGGTAAAAGATCTTCCTGTTATAAACTACAGTACTCTGAAAAAGGAAATCAAAGAGGATCTCAGAAAATAAAAAGCTATCCCTAACTCTTCTACAGGAAGAACCAATACAGCAAAAATTATTATACAGATTTAATGTAATCCCAATCAAAACTCCAATAACATTATCTTATAGAATTAGAGACAACAATCCTAAAATTCATATGGAACTAGAAGAGACCTAGAATAGCAAAGGAATGCTGGACAACAAAGACAAGGCAGGGGGCATGACAATTCTAGACTTGAAATTATACTACAAAGCTACAGTGGTAAAAACAACATGGTACTGAAAATAAAACAGACCTGAGGATCAATGAGCAAATTAAAAGATGCATAAACAATTCCAAACATACTCATCACCTTACCTTGACAAATAAGCCAAACACCTTCAACAGACAAAAGATAATAAATAGTGCTAGAAAAATTGGCTTTTCACATGCTGAAAATGAAAACTACAATTATACCTTTCACTCTACACTAAAAGCAAAATGTATCAAAGGTCTAAATATTAAAACAGAAAACACTAAATCTGTGGGAAGACAAAACAGATAGAACTCTTGATGTCACTGGTGTAAGCAAAAGTTTATGAACAAAACCCTGATCCCACAGGAAATATCAAACAGAATAAAAAATGGAGATCTCATATTGTTAAAAATGTTTTGCACAGCAAAAAGAAAATAAAGCCAAAAAACCAAAAGAGTACAAAGAACTGTACTGTGGTTTAAAAAAAAAAAAATGCCAGCTATTCCCCAAAGGGCTTATATCAAGAACATAAGAACTCTAAAGACCAGAATCCCCCAAATTTAAAAACCCAATCCAAAAGTGGATATCTGAAATAAAGAATAACTTCCCAGATGAAGAGTTAGAAATGTCAAATAAACATACAAAAATATGTTCAACATCACTGGTCATTCAAGAGATGCAAATTAAAATAATGCTGAGATTCCATCTCACTCCAGAAAGAGTAACTATTATCA